TGAAGGGAGGGTGTAAAGAAGATGGAGCCCAGAGGTGCTCAGGGACAGGACAAGAGGTAATGGGCACAAATTGAAATAAAGGCAATTCTATTTAAACATAAGAATTTTTTGTTTTTTTTTTTTGTTTTTTTTTGCTATGAAGGTGGTCAAACACTGGCACAGGTTGCCCAGAGAGGTTGTGGAGTTTTTGTCCTTGGAGATATCCAAAATCTGATAGTACATGGTACTGGGCAACCTGCTCCAATCTACCATGCTTTGAGCAGGGGTTTGGACAGTACAACCTCCAGAGGTGCCTCCAACCTCAATGATTCTGTGATTCTGTGTGAAATATTTAATTGGTAATATTTTTTTCAGAAGAGTTCCATTTAGTTAAGGATTAATTCCCTGTGGATAATTCTAAATCTTATTGCTAAAACAGATTGACTGTTTTATGACAAGCTGTTAGAAGCCTTGACCCTTCACCGCTGCAGAATTTGCTTCTTGTCCCCATTTGGGAATGAGCGCTGCCAGTCGGGGCAGCTCTCAGCTGTAATATGCACTGCCAGCTCATTGGTTTCTTCACAAGAGCAGGATAGGAGCTGCTAACCAAGACTTCGATATGATCTCCGTGCTGAAGGCTCTCGCTTTTGAATAACCTTGAGCTGCTGATTCTTGACCTGATTTCACTGAAAATTTGAAGTGTCTTGCAGGGGAATTTGGCTTAAATAAATTCCAGCCTGTTCCTTCCTTGGGCTTGGGGACAACGTGTTCAGGGAAGATACGTGGCCATTAAACTTTGATTTTTCATCCAAAGTGCTGTAGCATTGTTCAGCAGACTTTGGTGCTGCAAGTCAGCATTTCCGCTGGGTTGCTTTATTCTCCCTAGTTATCAGTATCCATAAGATTTCCAAGCAGTATTAGGGTTATTATTCCCATGTCTCAAGGGCAAAGTACTTTGTTTCCAAAACAGTTTCGGTGCTCATCAAAATGTTTCTGCATTTCTGACAAGGTGTTGAAGGATCCCTAATAAAATGGAAATGGAATGGAATGGTGCTCTGTTGCTGGTGTGGACTGGTCTTGGAGGCTTAGGGGAAAAGATACTTCTTCCTCCTCCATTCTTAAAAATGAGTGACCCCAGTGACATCAATTTGAGAATATGGCTGCTGCACTATATTGAAACGAAACAGCCTAGAGTTTATCCAGCTCAGCTGCTGTGCCTGCTGTTCGCGTCTTTGGTGTCTCTGGAGAAGAGGCTGAAAATTTCTGTAGCGATAAGGAGAGGTACTTGGGAGCCCTTGCAGAGAGCAGAGCACGGATCCGAGATTAGCGCTTACGCTACAGCACAGGTCTGACGAGATAAACAGGGACCTACATCCCATGCCGTGGCAGTTAGATTCATAAAGATGAAGTGTTTCTTTACCTGAAATAGTTGGGTCTTACTTACGAGTCAGATTGTAATTCCTGACGGATCACACAGTGCTAACTCTGAGAGTGTTGGCTGCCAGAGAAAATGCATGCGCTTCGCTCCACATCCTTCAAAAGGAGAAGGTAGATTATCCGTAAAGCATAAGAGAAATAGAAGTTCCCATTACTTGATTTGCAGCAAACAATAAGCCATTGTTGGGGAACAAGAAAATGAAGAGTCACTGTCCTTACTGTGCCTCTACGTTGAGACAGAAAGAGGCTGTAATTCCATTAGAGCTGTCACCATCTTTTAAAACAATCTATATTTCCGATTTTTCCATCTACACCCCAAAATGGGGCATTTCTAATTGACGCTCCAAGAACAATAATTTTTCTTATCATTAGAGAGCCCTCACAAAACAAAAAGTGGAAGCAAACGGAGCTGTCAGAGCACACTGTGAAAGCTGTTTGTGTTCGCACAGTGATGAGCGCTCCAAATGTCACCCCAGTGTTGCAGCTGGCAACGTCTCTGGAGCACCCCGCACTCGCTTGTCAGGATGCTGTCAGAAAGTAAACTTTATTCCTTAATTCACAGTTGTTACTCCTGCCCACTGTTTCTGTCTCCTGCTCAAGAGTCACTTCATTACCTATTTGTCTGGAGTTTGGAATAGTTTTTTTTTGGACACACCTCAGTGTGAACCCTATAACCAACCCGTCCTCCCCCACAGCATCAGCTTTGCCGTGTAACTTTTCCAAAACCTTACTGGCAGAATTTCAAGGATAAGCATCTGTTGCAGATGTCATTAGTTAAGTTTTCAGCGACGTTTTAGGCAGATGTGTGTGCCTATCCAGCAATGAGGGTCCGGCAGGTACCTCCATAGTAACCAACACGCTGGGCAATAACTGAGCATATATGGTACTGTAGTGGCTATTTTGTATTTTAAGTAAGACTGCTATCATCCTGCTATTGAAGAAATTATGTGACACAGAGAGGCTGAGTATGCTGTGAACAATCTTAAATCTCTGTAACCTCAGCAGTGGTGGAATTACATGCTTTTGATACCTAAATTGTTCAGTTATTCCCAACAGCCCTGCGGCATGGGCTGTATCAGGCTGCACAAACAGGTGAAACAATTAGCCAGCTATTCATCCCTTGCTTGATATGGGCATTGATTTTTGTCTTTAAGAAAAATAACATTATATATAACTCTATTTTTTAAATATAGGTAGTCTTGTCTAAGACCCTGCCTTTTTTTCACACCGTAGACCTAGCACAGTTGTCAAAAAAAGTCTTGGAGAGAAGCAGATGGGAAGGAAGGGTCTCCCTCCTTGTTTAAGCCAAATAACATAAACCTTGCCCGAGAGCTGTTGTTGCTATTTGGAAGAGGGCTGAGGCTGAGCAGCTGCGACGTGTTACTGGGCTGGGCTGCAGGGCTGCTCCGGGGAACCCTCCTGAGCATTTCCCTTCTTGCAAGCCCTTTCTGTTTCAGGTCTTTTTGTTTTACCCAGTAGTGTGCGTGTAGGCAGAGACAGACTATCCTTGTTAAAAGCTGTGATTCCTTTGTGCTGCTTCTGCACCCTCCCCTGCATTTGGAAAATAAAATGCTGCAGGGGGAGGCAGGTGGGAGACACGGGGCCGCCCAGTCGCTCCGGCGAGCATCGCTTCCCCCACCTCCTTCAAAGAAGATGTATGGCCTCATTCTGGGCACCCTGGTGAAATAGCCGTGACGAGAATATTTGCTGCTCCATTTCGTGTTTAGCCTTATGTTTTTCAAGGCCCTGAGTTTTGCTGTTGCTAGAAATAAGAACTTTTTATTAGCAGGAGCTGAGTCACTGTGCAGCTGCCTTGGATCTGAGAGGTTTCATTGCAAATATAATTTGTATGAGCTTCCCAGCTGCCATTCCAAACGCCCTAAAAAAAGTGGTCTTGCGTGAACTTGACTGTCTGAACTTTCTCCAAAGAAGGCAAATGCAATGATTTACATAGCACAAAGAGCCACCACTGCCCCACACCTCTGCAGATAACAGCGCTGAGCAAGAAGGAACAAAATCTCCAAACTATGTGAATTATTGAACCCTGCTAAATGAAGTCGATGTGTTTGCTGTCTCTCGGTGCACCAAGACACAAGAGCCAGACACAAGTCTGGCTTCAGTTCATGGTCTGAGCCAGCGATGTTAATGGGAGAGAAGGGCTGCCGAATGCAGACGATCTGTTACGTATTGCAAATAATGTCTGTGCTGGAACCAGTAACTTAATGGTTGTTGGTGGGGAAAGACCCAGGGCTGTGGGGTTTCTCTCCACAGTGAGGGACAACTTTTCCAAGGTTATTTGAACTTAGAGGATTATGTTGTCCTTCAAAAGTACTCCTTAGTAGTAGTAAGGGCATCACGTCTATCTCTGAGATAGATTTGCCAGGCTCTCTGGCACTCCATTAGAAGTTGGACGGTCTTTGTAAGTGAGAGCTAAGCGTAAGGCAACCAAGTTGCTTATTTGTCCGTGGGTTAGGAGGTTATAAATGCCTCGTTGGCACTAAAGCACACAAAACTCTTTTTTGCCCACCTCACCCTGGGAAGCCCCGTGTCCTTCCTGAGCTGCAGGGAGCAATGGGTGCGACTGCCCTGCCCGCACACTCCCTGCGTGCGCAGTTTGCCGCTGCTGTGGATTCACATCGCCAGTTCACGGTGTTCCTAAGTTTTAAAGTTTTTGAATATAGGACAAGAAACTCTCCACATCCACTCAGACCTAGCAGAGGTCCACGCAAAATGGGAAGCGGGGTGAGCAGGGGACTGCTGCTGTACCCAGCCCAGCATCTCTGCTCCATCAGAGAGCCTAACCAATTCCAGTTCTCCACCTCTCTTCTAGGAAGCTTGAACGTTTACCTGCGGTTGAAAGGTCAGACCGCGATAGAGAACCCATTGTGGTCTTCAAGTGGAAATAAGGGACAGCACTGGAACCAAGCCCGCGTTAATATAAACCCCCCGACTTCATTTCAGGTAATGGCTCGTGCATCGCACGCTGGGAACGGGAGTATTCGGTTTTTGGAGGGGGGGGCCTGTGTACGCTGACCCTTTGCTTCTGACACAGGATTTCAGCTCTGAAAGCCGCTTTATGGACAGGTAATTGCTTTCCTTGCTTTAAATAGGTGAGCACCATAGAGCTTAATAATGCACACTTTCATGGCAGAACAGCAGCTATTTGCTTGAAGACAAAATGTCTTTCAGTTTTCAGAAGATACTGTTAGCCGATATAAAATGTTTTTTTAATTTCAGATTAGCAATTGGAATACAAAATTGCTTCCTGTGAAAAATATTTAGAGTCCATGGTGTAGTGACTGTGTTATCTCTTGAAATACATGCATTTTCCGCAGAAAAAGGAATGACTTCTGAGTCTTTGCTGAAAGGTACCAAAGCAGCAGTGCTGCCTGCGCGGAGCCCCTGGTGCGGCAGAGCTGCACGCCTCATTCAGTGGGCGCATGCAAGCTATGACAGGTTTTCACACATTTCATTTTCGGTTTGACAGTGAGATGCTGATAGACTATTATGGGCAGTTCTCATTCACGCTGTGAATTCTTTGTAACTGGAACAGACCCAAAAAGGCAGCTGCCGCGAGCAAGCCCTCGTGTTTGAGGCTGGGAGTATCGGCGTGGAAGACGGGAGTCACAGGCTGTGCCCTGTGGTGCAATGTTCTCCAGGCTCCTCTGTCCCCTCTGTAACCTCCAGGTCCCCTGGGGGAGATAATGGCTTTTGGGAAAAACAGCAAGTCAAAACTGCTGTCTTAAACATGCAGACTGGGATTCACTTTATGGGTAATTACTGATCCTGACCCTTTGTTTTTATTTCCATGCATGAGAGGCAATGACGGAAGAGAAATGATTCGGCATATGTGATCGCAGAAGCATTGCATGGGGGGAAATAGGAGGAAAACTGAAGGAGAGGGATATGCAAAGTATAGCGTTACGTGATGTTTGAGTGGAACAAAGTGGCAGAATTGGGGAAGAAGAGGCAGAGAAGAGGGATACGAGTGTTGAAATACACTTAGAGCATGGGACTAAGTACAAGGGAGCTGATCAGAGTGATGAAGTCAGGATAAATCCAAGAAAACTGAACAGTGAAATATAGAAGAATGATTCAGTATCTGAACACGACTGGTAAGGGGAGAGACGAGACGGCTGGGGAAGCTGAAACCGAAGTGATCGCAGTTGTGTCTGAGAGGGATTCCTGAGACCTGGGACGGGCTTTAGCAGAAGTAGGGGAAGGACGCAGCTCCGGGCAGAGAGATGCAAAGGATTTGGCACCAGCAATGCAGAGGAGGGGAGGAGGGTGATGGGGTGCAAACCTGGGGTCACCTCATCAGCATGGAGAGGAAGGCATGGGTTTGGGTGGAAGGGCAAGCTGGGGTGTTTGCCTTGCACGGGGTCAGCCGGGTGAGGTATCGGCAGAGCAGCCGGCAGCTCCCGGTACCCGGGTTGCTGCTTGCACCGTGGAGTCTGAGGATCGGCCCTTGCATGGGGCCCCGTTGTTTTTAGAGGAGTTACAGGGGTCACTTCTGCTACTGGTGCACCTCACTCGCATTGCTTTAAAACCACGTTCACTAGCTGGTACACAAAATGGAAGCTCCTCTGCTTGGCTGTTTTTCACCTTTTACATTGTTGTGTTTAAACGCTTCAGCATAAAATGAATGTAAAGCCATGAAGCTCTGCACAAATACAACAAATAAATGTCAGAGTGGTAGGAACCTTAAATTACTTTTTTAGCAGCTCTTGCATCAAACAAACTTTATTTTCCGTTTAGGAGTCTAAGCAGGAAAGAATATAAACCTCCCATTTAAATTTAAGGAGAGTGAATTGAAGTGAACCTTTGCAGTAAAACAGTACACTGACACAGAAATTAAAACTTTTTATAGGTTAATTTATATGAGTAAAAGTGCAGCCCAGCTTTGTTTTATACCTTCTCAGTCCCCGTGATATATAACAAAGCTTTTGTCGTGAGGAACTGAGAGGACTACAGTGCTTTGAATTGGAAAAAGTATTGCATAAAAGCTATCTCTGTAAGATATTCACTTATTAAGTATTTTTAAAGAATAAGCACAAAAAAAGAGCACGTGGAAGTGATACATTGCACACTGGCATCTAGGAAGGTGTCAATTTTAGTTCAGATTTGAGCAGGAGCACTGCCACCGCCTCCAGCTACACTTTCCTTGACACCTTCCTGCGTCAAAGACATTTTTTTGCAAAAGAGGGGGTTTTTTTGCATTGAGGGACTGATCTGCCCTTAAGTAAATGAACCTGCTGGACCACTGAGATTTTTAGCCCCTTACAGCGAGTGTAAGGGGCTCACACCCTTGTCACCATGCTGTCCGAACGGGGACGTTCATGAGGCTCCTCTCTACTTCTTATTAGGAGACTGGCCAGGAAGGTAAAATTGGTTTGAAACCCTGTTGAAGAAGCACGAGCTGAATCCCCCAGAGACACTCGGGATAACTCTGGAGGCACTATTGGGGCTTATTTCCATTTCCCCTGTTAAGAGAGCGGAGTGGCCTTTGCTGTGTGCGTAAGCCCCTCTCTTCTTCAGCTAAATGCAGTATTTTTAACAACAGCTTTGTAAAGTCGCGGACATGCAGGTAATAGGTTTTGCGGGATATTGATAGGGGATTCTGATCATCTGGCACCTCCTGCAAATGGCAGTGAACTGCAGGCTGGATTGTGCTCCGTGCCTTGCCAACACTCATCTGCGGTGATTTGTTCTGAGCATGTGGCCAAGCTGGCTAATGGCAACCCGTCTCAGGGGCCCGTAAAACACACTGCCAAACGCAGATTTTAATTAAATGCTGGCTGTTGTATTTGTATAGAGTCCTTTTGTCTGGAAACAGTGTTTTTCATTATCAGGAAAGATCTGACTTTAAACTCCGTTGACTGGTTATATGCCTGCTGCCAAGGAGCAGCAGGGCAAGCTGCAGTTTGGGGGAGAAGAGAAGACACTTTCCTCTCGAGCTGAATACTTCCCATCATCAGAGGTAGAGTCAAAAAATTGTCAGAGGGATAATTACTTGAGACGCTGTTTTCAGACAACAGGGTAAATTATGGAAAAACTTACTGTTTTCCCAATTACAGTTCCCTGTTGCATTAATATCCACCTTGTTATAGTAATTAACCTACAGCGTCACACTTCAGTAAAATACAGATGGAGTCTGCTGCCCCAAATGCACAGCTTTCACGTTTATTTAGTGCTCCCAGCACAGACCTTGCCGCCTGGCTTACGACACAACAGGCAGGCTGTAAATACATGCCTTCGCCTTGCCAGCTTACCGCTGCAGGGTGAGGCACCTACGGGGGATGCTCAGCTTAGCCAAAGGACGAGATGTGTCTGTGACCAAGGTTGAGGGACGTGCCCTCCGTGGAAAGGCAGAGCGGAGACTTGCCTGTGCAATGCGACGGCTGGTGGCATCGTGCACCGTTGTGATGTGGTCCTTGGGTGATACGCATCCAGCTGGACTCGCTACCTGACCCCTGTGATCTATAGGGTCATCTTCCACCGCCCTGAGTGTTTACTCGTCATTTATAATGGAAGGTGTTCGTTTCTAACGAGCAGCTCTGGCTGAACTGTATTAATGAGCAAAGAAATGTCGGAAGCTGCCAAAAGAAGAGGCTTGGGTTTTTTTTTAGAGCCCATCCGAGTGCCCCAGACATCTCCCTGATGCAGTTAGATCATTATAAAGTGTAATTTAAGTATTTTGCTCCAGATGGAATTAATTTTTTTTTTTCAAATTGACTCTACCCCCAAGAGTTAATGTCTCCATTAGAGCCACAGCACGCCCTTACAAAATTCATTGAATTTCATGCATATATTGTTGCAGATTAAAGTTAAAAAACTTGTCATCAAAGTTAACCAAAAATATTTCAAAGGACTGAGGGCGGGGAGGGAGGAGGGAAAGGAGAGATAACTGTGCAAATGGTGCTGCTTGGGAAATATATTCCTTACATAATTCCTTCATCTCTTTAGAAAGGCTTTGAAGTTTTCTAGTGAATAAATTTCTCGCAACACAGAATGACTCCACTCTTCTGCAAAGCTAATTAAGCAGCAGTATGGCAGGACAGCATCACATCGGGTTTGAGGAAGGAGAGCGGATAACTTTGTTTCTTTAGTACAATAGTAATCCGTAGCTAATAACGAACATTACGGCAAATAATATTACTGACCTTGCAACAAGCCACCCATCTCCATACAGGCAACATTACCTTTCCCAGCTGTAGCAGTTGGGGTTTCAGGCTAGGACTATTTACAGAAGTTGATTAATAGGACCTTGAAATCACAGGCGTCCATTTAGCAAAGGTTAAAGCCTTAAAGAGGAATAAAATCTGTACCCTGACCCTCTCGGTGATAAAACACATCACGATGTCCTCTGATAAATATAAAACCATTCTTAGAAGGGATGAAAGCTTCTAGACGTGATGATGAGCCACTAAAAGGGGCAGGAGAGAAGTGGGGCTGTCACTGTCATCAATTCCTGCCACAGCAGGAGATCTGGGAGTTTAAAAGCCACGGAGGTGATTGCAGGAGATCACTGTGGGACCTCAGGGGATCCGAATCAAAGGTAGTCCCTTCCTGACCCCTTGAGATAAATACAGCTTTGCGTTATGGGTGAAGGGACACCAACATGGCTCCTGATGGTTGGGCCACCTTCAAGAGCCAGAAACCTCATTTTACTGTGGTGTTTTTCTGGCTCCTGTGTGTTTTCATGCAGCCTGTGGTCGAACGGATGCTCAGTCCTTCAGCACGTCGCAGATGCTGTTCTTCAAGCTGCGCCTCTGCCACTCGCTTCAGGTGGCAGGAGTTTCTACACCCCAAATCTCTTTAAAACTTCTCCTCTGTTTGATCCTGCTCTTTGCTCCAGGAATACCATACTTATCTCCAGGAATATCATAAGTACACATGTGACAGTTAGCATAGTGGCAAAGGTGACCTGGAGACACCAGGTAGACAGCTAGGCAGACGACTAGCAGCTCTGATATTTTTCAGCTCATTCTGAAGAGTAAAAGCCTCCATGGCTCACACATCCTCTGTGTTCACCTTACAAGTACGTGTGAACTTGGTTGCGTTCTTTTACACCATAGAAAGTGTTCATAAATCATTCCAGGCCCATCGATGTAGTTTAATGCTGTGCAAAATGCAGCTGAACATTTTCCATTCATCACCCTCTGATCCATTTCTTTTTTATATTTTTTTGCAGCTCATATTTGAAGGGATCCGGGGCCCCGGCATCGAAGGTGATATTGCTATTGATGATGTATCAATTGTGGAAGGAGAGTGTATGAAATCAGACCAACCGGCCAACAGTAAGTGGCTCTTCCACACGTGGGGGAGAGCAAATTGCTTCTCGTGGTTATAAATTTGAGACACCTTCTCAAACGGATTTTCTCCGGGAGAACAATGTATTGTTCGGTTCAGTTGGAGAGGCTTAAAGTGAAACATTTTCCTTGGTAGCAAGCTCTGGAGTCAGGATGTTTTTGTTCAGATAGGAGAATGCTGTTTTAGCAGAGATGCACGTGAAAGGCTGATGGGCGTTAGGCAGAGGCGAGAGCAGTGGGCTTGCACTCCGTACTGGGGCTGGGCTGGGCGGCCATGATGGGCAGACAGATAAAGCAACGTTAAAAAAATGTTCAGGGGGTCCAAACAGTATGAAATGAATGAATATCAGTGTTGCGATTCCCTGTGGACCTTGTTTCATCCCTCCACCCCCACATGTGCATTACAATACAGACCTTAACTACACAGCCAGGTGTTTTTTTATTCCAACGTCTCCAGCCTCATTCAGTCGGCGAGCGCTGTTCTCGTCCCCTCTTTGTAGGAGGTGACCTTGCGGAGCAGTGTCCCTGCAGAGACCAGGGGAGGTTGGTGGCACTCGGTGTGACACCATCCCATTGTCCTCCCTGACTGCCCCCACGTTGGTGTGCAGGACAAGTTTCGGTGGCTGAGCCCTTTATCTTTTAAGCCTTGTAGCAATGCTGACTGTGTCTGGGCAGCTCTTTAATTCTACCTTTTTCACCCCTTTTTGTAGATTTACGATCAGGTGCTGTTGGGACATTAGCGCATATACGACTTATCCCAGTTATCATCCTCATGTCTGTCTTAAGTCATCAGAGGTGACCTTATCCTGGCGGAGGCTACAAAAGATTCACCAGGCACTGGCATGAAGAAAGAGTCTTTGTAAAATGGACATTTAAAAACAAACTACCAAAGATTCCTCCACTGACTGACTCAAAAGTTAAATAAATACATAAATAAATTAAAAAAAAAAAATTAAAAAGCACTGGGGACATAAAAGGCATCACGGGAGTGTAACTCACTATGAACCACGCGTGAGAACGAGATCTGGCCTAAGTAAGGAAGAGACCTTCAGGTGCTTTTGTGGTCAATAATGAATACAGCGTCATCTGGTTGAACTCTCGGAAAAGAGCTATAGAAACCCTTGTCAAAGCACAAAGTCATGGCTGGTTTTGTTTCAAATGAATAGTTTGCTTGTTACCATGGAAACCTAATGGCCTGCCAAAAAAAAAAAAAAAAAAAGGAAGGAGAGAGAGAGGAAATAAAAACAAAAACAGAGAGAGAGAGAAACACCTCACTGTAAACAGGGTATGTGAAGAGCTGGCATTCATTTTCCCTTCAAGAAGGTTTTTAGTATAGAATTAAATAAATGTAGGCCCTTTCTACTTTGGCTGTCACCTCCCCTAGAGAATAACCGTAAATCAGAGCTGTTTTAAGACATTTATGTTTCATTTCTCATGGCTATGCTTGATAACTGTATGCTGTCTCCTTTTGCATGCATTACTATCCAGGATGTGCGACCTGGGCTTACATATTACACAGGCTTATCGGAGTTTGCTTGCGGCCACTCGAACACCCCTCTCCCCTCCCCAACTAAGTCATCTGTTCTAATGAAGTGAAGAAACCAAACCACCGTCTTTTATAAATTGCCATGGAAACCAAGTGCCTTCAATGAAACAAGCCTGATTTAAAAAAATAAATAAATAAAATAATAATAATAATTTCAACACAGAAGCTTGCACTGCTAAAATGTGGTTTGTGCAAACTATTTTCTAAACAAACTACGGAGCCTGGGTGTGCAGACTGCAGGCAAGGAGACGAAGCCGCTTCTGGAGATGGATGGACCTAAGCTGCTGCGTAAG